GGTGACGAGGATGCTGTTCATGAGAACAGAGAAAAGATGAAAGAGAGAAGAGTAGAATGATATGATATGATCAGTGTTGCCAATTTCTCATTATATATACAATGTTCACTGCAGGGATTCATATAATATTATTATTGGATTAGTCGTTCACAAAACAATTTTCACTGCAGCACAGGATAGCACATATATTTTCTGATACATTTATAGAAGGAATACAGCAAAAGGGATCACCTAGTCTATTGAGTTAGTAACTAAGGAAGGATTTCACATGCTAGCTGTTTGTTTTATAGTTTTATTTCTGGATGAGATTTAGAGATTCATTTTCACATGTCTTTCCTTGACTCTTTCTCACTCCTCTTTTCATTTTGAGTTTGAGTTTTCTGTTTCATTTCATTTTCATAGTTGCTCGTTTTGGTTAACATCAGTTGCTCGTTTTGACTATTCCAATTTCCATCGGTGGTAATCTTTTAGGCTAGCCTAGCCGCAATTAAACCATAATTAAGCGCTTCTGAAAAAATTCATTTGTCTAGTCTAGGGTATAGATTCACTTCATAGGTCTTTACATTTGGTGAGGTGTATTGAATTTGAGGGGGATAAGCTGCTGCGTTGCGTTGCGTTGCGGGTGTGTTTAGGAAATGCATGAAGTGATCAAGATTGCATTCGGTCGCAAATTGTGTGTAACCTGACCTTGTAAACTGCATTCAAAGGAAAATTCAAACCTGATATAGTGTGCGCTACTGCCATTAAAAACACAAACCTGATATAGTAGTACAAATATCTTTTGAAAATATAGTATACGTTCTCAATTTAATAAAATTCTCATGAAAGGCGATTTTTTAATTTTTCTCTATGACAAGCAGGGAGATAAAAATGTATAACTTGCCTGATTATAAGCAAGTGCTATAGACACAGCACCTCTCATGTCATGACTCATAAGGCCAGCCCACCATATTATCACCTACACTAACAAAAGTGTTCGGGACCATTGACCTGTGTCCTATACAGGACCATTGCTTTCAAATGGCTTGGAGGTAATTTTCAGGACCATTGCTCTCTCATCCCATCCCCTAAGAAATACTGAAGTTGGTTAAAGATATTCAGGAGATAAAATCAAAGCTAAATGAACTTGAATTAAAGCTCAGCCAGGTTTTGGTCTTTGCATAATTTTCTTTCCAAATTTATGATACAATTGTTGTGTTTCTTATTGTTTGTCTGTAATTTGCACGTAGAAACTGGACTCTAGCAGTATACGCTACTTGGATGGTTGTCAAAATATAATATTAACCAAGCTCCTTTTCTTTTTCTTTTTTACTTCTTTTTCCAGGCTCAAGTTACCATTTTAAAGCTAACAGAGGAGAGGAGTTCAAGCATTCAGGAGAGAAAAAAATTACAGGAGCAATTAGTAATTTCTTGCACCCCATCCATTTCGTTTCCTGTAGTTTTGTTGTTTGTCTAGGGATGAGTTTCTGCCAAAGTCTGAATTGTTTGGTTGTTGTGGTTATTGGCTGTCTAAGGCTTGGATAATCCACTGGTTTGAGAATTTAAGTGCATTGCAGTTCTATTTCTGGTTTGTTACTGTGTTTATCCAACTGCTCTCTGGTTTTTGTTGTTGAACATCTACTGTAAATTGCCTACTTGGGGTTTATATTGAGGATGAAATGGTTTATCTTTTAAATTTCCTGTAATTTGCATGCAGAAATATGTTCCTTTTGAAAATGAGGGAGTGCTTTAATTTGTGTGCTCTACTCTTTGGTTATGCTAACCTCTCTCTCACTGCGCACTTGTATTTGCACCTTGTTGAAACTCTTATTCATGACATTCGTATGTACTTTTATTGCAGGCACAACTGAACCAAAGGGGGGTGAGTGAAAAGAGTCCAAGTTGGGTTTCCTCTACTATATGTTTGTATGGTGGCGCTTATCAGTGTTGCTCTTGGATACTGTCTTCACCCTTGAAACAATGTGTATGAAGCTACTACCGTCAGTCAGTAGTTAGATAAATATGTATAAAATCATTTTCCTCTCACTATAAATGTATAGATGAGGTATAGAGGGGACAGTCTAGCCAATATACTCACAGATAAGTGAAGTGCATGTATACGCGCGTTGTTCTCATCCCCGTAAAAGGGGAAAAAAAACCATGTGAAAGCTTTAGTTGATAGCCAAGAAGCCATCTTTTTGTTTGTGCAGACATTTTATTGTGAATTTGTGATACTAGGGTTGAAAGTTTGGAACAAAAATTAGAATGAGAATTAGAGGCGCATGATGTTTTTAAAGTTTGCTAATTGATTGGTCTTATTAGTTTGTATAGTCTACTTTCGTTTTTATTGTGGATCATTCTTTATTGTGGTCTTATTAGTTTGAGATCAAAGATGTTCAAATTGGTCTGCACGTTTTCCAAAACTAAAGACAATTACTATCCAACGTTGGCGACAATTAAATTATAGCATAAATATACCAACAAATATATATTTGTATTTTATTAAAGGGGTAAAAGTATAATTTCATATCCATCTGTAATTAGTTTTAAATTTTAAAAATAAAAATAGACAAATGACAGATTTTGAGTGGGAGTAAAATAGTGATACGGTACTACTCTATAACGTTTCCTTTAGAAAGATGGTTTACATACTAAAGAATGAGTAAAATCATTTTTTTTTAAATGTATTCGAAAGTGGCTGGGTTCGTTTCACCATATGATATCTCAAATCCATCCTAAAGTTTCCTCTTAAAAATTAAAGACTGCCATTAATACATCAAAATCCGTGGTTTAAATTTGGAAGATGCACCTAATCCAGCATTCAAATCAACTATATAAACCATGCTTTGCTAGTCAGATTTCCCTCATCCCAGAAAATGCTTTCCTCTTACCTCACTGCTTATTCTTTTTGTCACCGCTGCAAGTGCAACAGAGCATCAAGTGCATCCTCCCTGGGAGCTTTTGGACCCCAACGATCCAAATGTGATAAATGCCGCCAAGTTTGCGGTCTTGGAATACAACAAGAACGTCACCAGCGGCAGCAACAGGCTACTTTTCCAAAAAGTGAATTGGTGTGAATACGCTTATCTAGCAGCCAGTGACGAAGTCAGGATTTCATGTGTGTGGGGGTCTCTTACAAAATATAAAAGTTTAGAAATTCCCTATTGATGCAAAATAATTTTTAGTTTAGTTCAATGGGTTGGGTACCAAAAAGTAAATTAAATTTTTTAATCATTTCAACTAAAGGTTTTTTTAATTTTAAATAAAGTACAAGCGATAGTCTAAATTAGAGGGAATGTAGATTTCTCACACACACACATAAATGATGTCATGGGGGTTCGAACCTGAGACCTCTTGTCTGCAAGTTAAGGCTCTTTTCCACTAGATTAGACCTCGTTGACTAAATGGTCTTACTTATGCCACAAAATGTTTGTTAAATAGTCTATGCTTATTTTGAGTATGATAGTGCAACTATTGTTTGCCCGTTTGGCGTTCACTCCTGTGATGGAAGGGCAAAGTTCCTCACTGCCTTGAGAACCATAAACTGGTCGACAAGTCAGCTTTCTTTGGTGTGCGAGCGTGCCACTGCTAGCAATAAAAATTCTAGCAGACTTAGTTTGGAGTAAATAACTTGCGCCCCAAGTTACTGATTTCTGCAAACAAACGATTGTGAATTTGGGTGAGGAATATCTCCCAAGTAAGTTCTTTTCTTGCCTCAGACGGGTGAGGACTTTAACAATTTATCTCAGTATAAACAGGCTGTTCTGGCCAAAATGGTTGATG